GGAGAGCGCAGGGGAATCCCTGGCTGAGAGCTCCCAGGCGAGTGATCTAGCTCAGATCAGGGCTGAACTCACCCAGATTTTGAAACGGATGCTGTCCAAAGCTGACACGGGCATGCTAGTGCAGGAACTCCGGACGGCACTGAGAGAAGAACTCGCAGGCCTGCGGACGGATCGAACAGCCTTGGAAAAGAGAGTTGAAGAAGTTGAAACTGTGGCCTAAGGCTGTGAGCAGCAACACAGAGCAACAGAGGTAGCATTTACTTGACAAGGCAACATGCTGATCACTCTCGGCAGGCAAGTTGAAGACGTAGAGAACCAGAACAGACGCAATAATATACGTGTCCGCGGCCTACCAGAAGCGGAGGCTGAACCACTTCAAGCCCTACTAAATGCACTTTTCAAATTGCTACTGGGAGAGGAGGCCCCAGACACCATCCACATGGATCGTGCCCATATAGCCTTGGGACCGACGAGACAAGATGGCAGCCCCAGGGACGTGATATCTTGCATAACCGCGCAGGGCAAGATAATGGCTGCAGCGAGAAACATGCCGACTATCTCGCTCCGTGGAGTGGAGGTCTCTCTGTACCAAGACCTGTCCAGCCTAACCCTGGATGCTAGGAGAGCACTACGCCCTGTGACAGGCCTGCTGAGGGAGAGGAGAATACCCTACCGCTGGGGTCTCTCCTTTAGACTGCAAGCAAAGCACAGGAACTCCTTGGTAACAGCCCGATGGCCAGAAGAAGTCCTCTTGACTCTTGAGGACCCTCAATCTGCCACCTGCTAGAGTCCGGAACTGGATCCTCGATGAGGCCATAGCAGCGAGATGAGACCCTCTGAGCCCTATGAGACCCGTGGGCCCACCCGCTGAGCGGACCGCACATCCACACCGGACATTCCGGAGGAGTGAAGCAGTCGGAGCTGTATCTAGATGATGGGGGTCTGGTGAGTCACTCTCTAGGTAAGGGACATTGACATTGACGCAAACTGGGGGACTCAAGTAGGGAGACACCCGGAACTTTTTGGGAGGGATGGGAATGGGAGACGGGAGCTGTGTGTCCAAAGCTGGAGATAGGAGGGGATCTCCCCTGAAGGAGAGGGTGCTACAAGCAGTGACCATCGGCGGTATCCAGACAGGACACCATAAAACTAGCATTCCAGCCTGAGGTTGGGTGGAGGGGACATTGGGGTGGCACTACCAAAGCCTGGGTTTACACAATGCCCAGGGCTATAACCAGAGATGGATGAGGGGACAGTGTGGGAGCAGGCTTATGAACCTGACATGGGACCACCCTTGGACCCTTAATTGCTCTGGAATGCAGCAATAATGGACCTCTACCAGCAGAGCTGGTCCTGACCATGGGAAGAGGAGCAGGGCTGGCCTTGAGCCACCCCTGCCTGGTCTATAGAATATGTGCTATCACAGTTTGACGCAGGTTGTAAGCTATATGGAACCTGAGTGGGGAGAAAGCCTTAGGAGTAAGATACTCAGGTTATCAAATGTTAGATTGGGTACATGATATGGAGATGTTAATGCAACCATAACGTGAAGACTGATAACACGGCTACTAAGACGTATGAATGCAATCTCTCACTGGGAGGGGAGCTGATAGACCAAGGTAGACATCGGGAATCCCCGCAGGCAATGAGGAAGGAGGTGGGACCCGGAGTGGGCCCCCTGCCCACACGCACCATGGAGGACTAGGCAGTAGATGACGATGACCCCAGATGACCCAGCAGGCTGCAGGCTCCCACCCAGCCTCCCTCCCTGCCTTGTAGACAGTTTTTAAGGGGTGGTACGCAACATAGACATGGACACAATGTAATGAGAGGATAAAGTACCAGACCCAACTACTATCACCACGGGAATACCCCTTCTCGAACAGAGTCCCCTGGGACTGGGCACCAACCCCTATACAGACCCATAGCAAACATATGACCCCACAACACAAGGTGCGACAGTACGCCTCCGGTACTCTTATGCCTCTCACAGCTCGCTTCCTACCTCGGCCGAGGGGTTGGGATATGGACAGAATTGTTGGTTCACATACTCATTACGTTCTAAACAGATAGAGAGTTCTGACTAGACAGGTAGTCCTAGCTAGTGCTCCATAGGACAAGAGCCCCGCGACGGCACCTAACCAAACCTTGTGTAGGGGGGTGTTGACAACTCCTAGGGTACCCCACACGTCGCCTCACCACAGGTGTAGAGTCACAACAAGCCCGTATAGGGTTTGAACTACAGTATTTTCCTGACCTTAATTTATACCTATTAGGCTCCCCTACTACTTCCCCTCCCCCACTCCAACCCCCCCCACACCTACTCCTATAGCTGCCATGGTATCGGGGTTCGTTGCTGCGCCTCTCCGTGTCTGGTCGAATAATGTGCGGGGCCTGAATGTGCCTGAGTGGAGGTCGCACTTCTACAGGAGGTGTCCATCACAGGAGACGCACTTGCAAGGAGAGACGGGCCCAACACTGAGAGACACATGATACCCACAGGGATATTTCACCAATCATCAGTCCACCAAAAAGGCTGGGGTAGCAATACTCCACAGTGCTGTTCGAATGGAGGAAGTGAACTGGCTGCTGGACTAACCAGGGCACTGACTGGCAGGAGGTCAGATACCCTGTTAGTCTGTTTGGAAAAGGGGAGAGATGTGACGAGACCAATCTCGCCACTGTGCATTGGAGGAGCCTGGTTGCCTGCCTGCTGCCTTTTGACTGTGGACCGGCATTTAAATACTTTATTTTCCTATGCAGAAAGGTCTATTCATGTATTTCTGCCCTGGCGTTCGGTAGATTCTCGGATTTACTGAATGAACTCATTTAACCCAAATAGCTATGCCATGGAACTTATTTGTGTAATAAAAGACTTTGGCTCTATGGCAATTGAACTGTATGTGTGTGGTCTGAGCGCAATTCAGTAATAATGTGCGCTCAGACCTAAGCTATCTGGGGATACGCTGCATGTCTGTATTTTATGTAATAAATGTAACCTTGTGTATTTTATTGGATTTTACTGTATTTTGCTACCATGCAGCTAATGGAGTTTTGCCTCTGTCCTTGGAGATAATTGGATTACTTCTCAATTATCTCCAGGATAGAAGTCTCTGTGGAACTGGTTTTGGGCAGAAAAGTCATTCTTCATTTGGTCACAAAGGACTTCGATCTATCTTTTGAACCAATGGACCAATTTGGATGATGGATTTTGACATATGTTTGTATTTGGAGAATGCCGATACTGAAAATGTAAGTTTTATGTGAATGTGATGCATACTTTTAAAGTTCTGAATAATGTGGAAAAACTGTATTTCTCTGCCTGTGATAATTACATTACGCATTGTGACGGTAGTATACGGTATCACCATCAAGCGTTCCCTTCTTTCCCATAAAAGAAAATCACCCAATACTCCACAAGAAGAAATATCGCTGGTATCGCCAAATAATCCACACATGAGCCAAAGCTTAATGCTGGAACAAGACTGATTTACTGAGAGCAACAGGCATTCAATTTAAACAGCAATATGATAAAACTTAGTAGATACGCACCAAGCAAAATGGTAGAATATCTTTCTAAGGTTAAATATAAAGATTGGATATGGCTACCATAACCACTGTATCACTAGTATGAAATAACCACCACCAGGGGTTAAGCAATCAAAATGAAAAACACTAATTGAAATAAATAAATTATATATACAGGATTCAGTGGAAATGAAAGTACTGAACAAATATAAGATGGGAATGAACCCACCTATAAGAGGGCGCTAAACTATACAGGCAAAAGAACAAATCCAATAAAAAATGAACAATTTTATTCTGCACATCATGCAGTTAAAAAACAAATATAAAAGATCGCTACACAGCAGTACAATTATGAGACTCTAAAACAACTTATGTCTAGACACTGCTATGCTAACAAGCAGAATAGATGGAATACATGGATCTAGGTCGCGATCCTAGGTCTAAATAACTACTTGCAGCTATTCAGCAATATGCATAGACAAAGAAAAAGAAAGGTCTTAAATACGGTCTCTGGACTGCTGGTTCGCTGATCTAATGATGTCGGCTCAACGCGTTTCGTCCCGCGTTTTTCGGGACTTCCTCAGGAGCTGTGGATGCTGTGATGTTCTTGCTGCCGTTCTTCCTTCTTATATACGTTCCATTTTCTAATTTTCGCGCTCTGACGCTGCATTCGCACATGCACACACCAATATCGGTCTCCTTCAAGCTACGGATCCTCTCGTGGATCAATAGTTCTTGGGAGATTTTTGGCGCGCATGCGTAGCAGGGAGAGGCTACGTGATGCTTTACTGGCATTCGGGTTCAGTCACAATGTAGCACTGTAGCAGCTACAAGTGACTAAAACCTCATTACATTATGCCCATTGTTATAGAAAACGGCCTTAGCACTCACCACAAAGTAACAAATGTATAAAAAAGATATAAAAAGGATATAAAAAAAGATATAAAAAGGATATAAAAAAATATATATACAAAAAGGATAGTGCATCAATTTCCAATATTGGATACATGTTAAAACAAGAAGACTAAAAAAAAAAAACAATAAAAAAGGGTTAAAAAAACCCTAAAAAATATATACGTATGTTAGACGTGAACCAAAGGATGTTGTATGCATAGTTATTTGTGGTGATCTTTACAATCTAAAAAGATACTTTAATACACCTCTAACTTGCAATAATTAACCATTTCCTTGAATATAACAATACCAATATATCGATGTTCTATATAAAATACTCTATATAAAATACTCTATCTTTGTCCAAAAATGGACACCATATTCTTATTATAAGAACAAAGTTATAATATTCCCATGGAAAAAACAAACATATGTAAATATAAATCTAGAGCACACTTGTTTACGTTCTTAAGTTGATCAAATTCCGATATTCAACATTAAACATACATTTTACAATTTCAATTAAAAAGTATATATATACACAAATATACATATGGTTAGAAAATAATTAAATAATTAAAAAATAAAATAAAAAAATGAAAAAATAAATAAATAAAAAAATAGAAAAATAGAAATATAGAAATCTTTTTCACTTTACATGAAAGCCAAAATATCGAGATCGGTGTTTAAACCTCGAGGGTTAGATGTTTTCATTTTATAGATCCATTCTGTTTCTCTTCTTACTAAAGTTTTAGTGGTATCGCCACCTCGCCAGTGTGGAACAACTAAATCGATACCTATACAGACAAAATTGGTAAAAGTAAAAGTAGGACAACTGTTACAATGTCGAGGTACACTATGTTTTTCACTTTTCTTTTTTATAGATCTAATTGGTGGCACTGGTCACCGTATCCACTGTTAGCGTAACACACCTGCTTGAAGATAACTACCTGCTATTCAATCTATAACAGTGAAAAAAGTGTTTTGTTTTTTTAAATCCAAGCTTTGTGTCACCAGATCTAATTGGTGGCACTGGTCACCGTATCCACTGTTAGCGTAACACACCCGCTTTAAGGACACTGACTGCTATTCAATCTATAACAGTGAAAAGAGTGGTTTTTTTTTTTAAATCCAAGCTATTGTGACAACAGATATAAGTGGTGGCACTGGTCACCGTATCCACTGTTAGCGTAACACACCTGCTTGAAGATAACTAACTGCTATTCAATCTATAACAGTGAAAAAAGTTTTTCAATCCAAGCTATTGTGACACCAGATGTAATTGGTGGCACTGACTGGGGAAATAAGCACAGTATGCACTGTGAGCCTGACACAGAAGCTGGCAGCAGTGGCAGACAACTGACTGCTATTTAATCTATAACAGTGAAAAAAGTTTTTTGTTTTTAAATCCAAGCTATTGTGACACCAGATGTAATTGGTGGCACTGACTGGGGAAATGGGCACAGTATGCACTGCGAGCCTGACACAGAAGCTGGCAGCAGTGGCAGACAACTACTGCAATTACATTACATAGAAAAAATAGATCAAAAAAAGCATACCCTAACCCTAACCTAGCTATGCTTTTCCTTATCTAATGAACAGCAGCTAAGACTTCCCTCCCTCACTAAGCATGCAGCTTGAGAATGGATCTAAAATGGATGCCTTCCAGGAGGTGGGAGGGTCTGCTACGGAGGGTGTGCTGCTAATTGGCTGGAATGTGTCTGCTGACTGTGAGGTACAGGGTCAAAGTTTACTCAATGATGACGAATAGGGGGCGGGTCGAACCACGCATATGTTCGCCCGCCGTGGCGAACACGAACATTCTATGTTCGCCGGGAACCGTTCGCCAGCGAACCGTTCGGTACATCACTAATGCCGGATATGCAGTGACAACTATAGACAAGGTGATAGAAGCGCGGCCATTGTCAAAAGGAACATCAGCACAGAAGGCAGAATTAATCACACTTACACTGGCTTTGCAATTGGCTGAAGGGTTGAAAGTAAATATCTACACAGACTCAAAGTACGTGTTTTTAACCACACATGCCCATGGAGCTTTGTATAAAGAAAGAGGATTACTGACCTCAGAAGGAAAAGAAATCAAGTACGCAGCTGAGATATTACAACTATTGGAAGCTGAATGGGAGCCGAAGGAAGTTGGTATCATACATTGTCGAGCACATCTGAAAGGTGATGGTGATGTGGTGAAAGGAAATCGGATGGCAGATAGTGCAGCTAAGCGTGCCGCTGAATCCGGACAAAAGAATATGTGGAGTGTGTAGCAGCTCTTATACCGACCCCTCTGTCCCAGTGGACTCCAGTTTATACAGCTCAAGAAGTAGAGTGGTTAAAGACTGAAGCTGGGAAATATTTGGAGAATAATTGGTATCAGTTAGAAGATGGAAGAATAGTTATTCCAGCATCGCTAGCTGTAGAAATTGTCCAGAATTATCATAATGGGACACATTCTGGAAGAGATAGTATGGAAGAATCTCTTAGGAAGCATTTCTACATACCAAGATTGTCCAACTTGACTCAAGCCATTGTTCGAAGATGCGTGTCATGTGCCAAGAACAACGCAAGGCAAGGTCCAGTGAAACCACCGGGAGTCCAGTACATGGGAGGGCTTCCTATGTCCGATCTCCAAATAGACTACACGGTAATGCCCAAATCTGGCGGACATCGTTACCTACTAGTAGCTGTGTGTACCTACTCAGGATGGTTAGAGGCGTGTCCAACTCATACAGAGAAAGCAGGAGAAGTTGTGCGATTTCTGTTACGAGAAATAATACCCCGATATGGACTACCGTGTTCTATAGGATCAGATAATGGTCCAGCTTTTGTCCATCAGTGCCTACAACATCTGACTCATATGCTTGGTATTAAGTGGAAACTTCATACAGCATATAGGCCTCAGAGTTCTGGGAAAGTGGAAAGGATGAACAGAACCAACTCAAGTGGAATGTTCTTTTGCCAATAGCTCTGTTGCGCATTCGTAGTACACCTACCAGAAAGTTAGGTCTATCACCCTTTGAAATTATGTATGGGCGCCACCTCCCATACTTAGTAACTTAAGGGGGGACTTGAGTCAGTTGGGAGAAGGAATTACCCGGCGGCAGGTTGTAGAGTTGGGTAAAACTATGGAGGAGGTACAGAAATGGGTACAAGATAGGTTACCTGTAAATATTTATCCACCTGTCCATTCTTACCATCCAGGAGACCAAGTTTGGATAAAGGAGTGGAACAGTGTACCGTTGGGGCCAAAGTGGAGGGGTCCTTATGCTGTTCTTTTGTCTACTCCAACAGCTATAAAGGTGGCAGAGGTGACTCCGTGGATTCATCACTCCAGGGTTAAACCAGCAGCAGATTCTTGGCAAGCTACTCAAGATCCTGAGAATCCCTGCAAGATCCGGTTGAAGCGAGTGACCCAGTTAGATTAAAAGTGGTTTTTGCGAAGAGTATTGTTACAAGGGAACATCAACAAAGATCTACAAGTAGGTGTTTTGATGGCCACAATAAAGCCTGACCACCTACCAACGTTTAAGCCAGAGGAATCCTCTGTGAAGAACAGTGAGGATCAGAAGGACTCCATTCCCTGCAGCCCTCACACGCCTGGAAGCTGAGGTGCCGTCGCACGTTCGAAGAATTAGGAAGAAGATGTCAGGAGTAATGTGTTTGATGATGTATATATGTGTGTTTTTAATTATTCAGGAAGGTAGAGGTACCGACACACCAGGCTGCGAGGTTTGCATTAAGACTACGAAAACAGGCAATCGTATTTCCCAGACCCTTATTTGGCCCTTCGCAATATGAGTGCACAGGACATGTATCAAAGTGTAGATATCTAGGTACAGATTATAGTGTATGCTATATAGGAGCAGGATAACCTAGGTGTTTTAATCCTGAGTATCAGCCCCGTACAATTTGGTTGACTATTCGGAATGAGAACGCACAGGGGAACCTGATAAATAAGACTGTACTAGAAAGCATACATTCTCCAGGTGTTTTGCTATTTGATGCATGTAAGGCGATATCAGGTAGTAGGAAGCCATGGAATGTATGTGGTGGTCTTAAATGGGAAAGAACGTATGGGTCTAATGATAAGTATATTTGTCCTAGTAATAAGCATAAGTATATAGATCCAAACTGCCTAAATAAAGACTACAATTATTGTCCGTATTGGTCCTGTGTGGGATGGGCAACCTGGGGACAGACAGTAGATAAGGATATGATTATCACTAGATTGCCTACCAAGCCATATTGTAAGTCTATGGAGTGTAACCCAGTCTATATACTTATCAAGGTCCCAGAGCTATTTATAGATAAGTTTGGGAATCTATTTGGGTTCTAAATATATGGAACAGGTTTGGATCCTGGGACGATATTATACATAGGAATAGAGACAGATACAGTGGCCCCCCAGACTCATCAGGTTTTCCATTCTTTTTATGAGGAGATGAGTGTGGAAGATAAGGTTCCCCATAATGCCAAAAACTTATTCATAGACCTAGCTGAACCAACTGCTATGTGTGTGGAGGTACTAATATGGGAGACCAATGGCCTTGGGAAGCAAAGGAGGTAATGTATTCTGGTTCTGAGACAGTTGAACAACTAATATCTTCTCAATCTGATTATCAAGTGAGTGTTAGAGGTAAATCTGAGTGGCGATTAAAGACCTCCATTATAGGTTATGTTTGTATAGCAAGGAAAGGAATAATGTTTAATACATCTGTAGGAGAATTGACTTGTTTAGGACAGAAAGCCTATAATGACGATACAAAGGATACTATTTGGTGGTCAGCTTCAAATGTCTCAGAACCGTCTAGTCCGTTTGCAAATTATACCAATTTAAAGGATGTATGGTTTGACCTATCTGCTACATCTAGTTGGAAAGCCCCAGC